CGACTCATAGCAACCCTACAGGACAGAGGAGAATTGCCCCATAGGGTTTCCAACGAGCGGCTGGTGGATTCAAACTAACGACCTTTCAGTTAACAGCGAGCTCTTGGCCACTGCGCCACCAGGGCTCCATAAATAATAGTAACAGCTTTCAACTGCCAACACTGTGTAAGTTGCTTGTGCATACGCCAGTCAGATCAGATAGTGGAGCCCTCATCCCAGCAGTCTTATTGCTGCTTGTAACTTTGCGACGACAGTTCAGCCCCGCTTGCTGGCCCAGCTCAGCTGGCCTCTGAGCGCCTCCCCACCCCGCGCTCCAGCTCCACTGAGCTCCCCACTATTCTGCAAACTCCCTCTGCAGACGACCATGTTCCGCCACGCACATGTCCACCGACTCGGACCAACACCGAACGGGTACCGGGGTCAGCTCAGAAATGCCAGGCAGCAGCACTGAGGGGGGCCCGGGGTGGGGAAGGCTGCAGGCAGGAGGAGGGTCTCTGCCCTGACCTCGGCAAAGCCAGCCCTGCAGCCAGCCTGAACCACAGAAAGGGGCAGGTGTGGAGTCTGACAGACTCCGGCCAATGGGCGGCTCCACGGCTTTCAGAAAGCCCTGACCTTCTCTGGGTCTCGATTGCCCTGTCTGTCCAAACGGGGACGGCATAAACGCCTGCCTCACCAAGTCACTATGAAGAGCAGATGAGATGGATGAAAACACTGTAAGCTGTGAAGTGCCCTAGGAACACAGTGTCTTTCTGAACCCGGCATCCGGCTCTGACATTTGAATCTCCCAGCATCCAGTCGAGCCAGGCTGCCTGGGTCCAGGTCCTGGCTCCACGGACCAGCTGTGTGACACTAGAGAAGTCACTGAGTCACCGTGTCTCAGCTTCCTTGTAAGTAAAATGAGAATGATAGTAGTGCCCAGCTCATAAGGTTGTTATGGAGATTAAAGGAGCTGAGTGTATAAACCCTTCAGAGCTGTGCCAGGCACACATCAAGCACCATGCTGTTAGCTGCGGCTCTTCTTTGTACGAGCCCAGAAGGAAGCCATGACACCTCCTGGCCAGCCCAGGAGAAACACACGGAGC